AGAGAGAGAGAGAGAGAGAGAGAGAGAGAGAGAGAGAGAGAGAGAGAGAGAGAGAGAGAGAGAGAGAATTCTTCTTCTTCCTCAGAGAGAGACTCTCTGAGAGAGAGAGAGAGAGAGAGAGAGCAGGTGTGCAAACAGGAGATTGTCGTGGCAGTGGCAGGCAGATTCCCCGAAGAAGGACATCTGGTGCTGCTTGCAGAGGAAGAACACCACCCTGATGGTCGATGAACCCTCCAAACAAATGCCGCGTATAACATGTCTCCAAAACCATATCTTGGAGGATGCCACATTATCTTCTTCAGGCCCGCTAATCGAGGATCGGCTGCCATTGTGCTGTTTCGAGTTGGCGTTTAGTGGGATTATACTCGTTAAATTCGGCAGTTTGATGCCGGGTCAATCCAGTCATCCAATGCACAGGCTCATCTTGAATGTATACAAGCTATCTTTTCGATTTGATGCAGTCAGGAGGAGGGTGTGTTGTGTTTGGGGGAGGACAGGTAGAGAGACCATGCGCAGATGAGCAGCTGATCAATCAATTCACAGCAAGAGCAATTGGCTTATGGTATCCAGCGCCCAGTCTCATCTTGAATGTATTTAAGCCATCTCTCTGGTTCGATTCACGTCTTTCTCTCTCTCTCTCTCTCTCTCTCTCTCTCTCTCTCTCTCTCTCTCTCTCTCTCTCTCTCTCTCTCTCTCTTTCATGCAAGCACAGCACACACACAGACACAGACATCATTTTTTTTCAACGATTTTTTTGAGTTTTGCTTTTTTTCTGTGCCAATGGGACTTGGGGCAGGACAAGGCAGGCCGCACGGCCAGGCCTTCCTGGCGGGTCCCGTGCCGGACCGACTCTGACCGGGCCGCCCAGCCGAAAGCCCAGTTTCAGTGCCATTCCAGTGCCATTTCACTGCCATTTCAGTGCCATTTCAGTGTCATTTCAGGGCCATTTCAGTGTCATTTCAACGCCATTTCAGTGTGCCATTTCAGCCACCTGCTCGACCAAGTCGGAGGAACGTGTCCTTGACTGGCTGGCTGTAAGGAGGAGATTCGGACATTGGTTCTGGTTCATTCTTTCCTTGTTATTATTATCACTACTGTGAGGGAGAAGTTGTGGGAGTCAAATGAGTTAGAGATGGTGGCGAGATGAAGTCGGATTGACATTGGTCTTTGCTGCTGTTCATCATCATCATCATCTTCTTCTTCTTCTTCTTCTTCTTCTTCTTCTTCTTCTTCTTCTTCTTCCATTCTTATTTCCCATTCTTCCTTTTTCTATTTCTCCTTCGAAGTTCTTTCATTTCAGTTGCAATTAAATGGCATCGCCTTTCATTTCAGTTGCAATTAAATGGCATCGCCGGCGAACACGAACACGTTCGCCCGAACGTGTTCGGGCATGAAAATCTGGTGAACGCGAACGTTTTTTTTTTTTTTTTTTTTATAGAGGTCGTAGGGCATAGGCCTGTGTCCCTGAACCCAACCCCTGCTCTAAGAGTCGTGAACCGTAAAAAAAGCCCCCGTCTGTGTGTGTGTGTCCGTGTGTGTCTGTGTGTCGGAGAGACGCAGACACACAGACACACACACGTGACACACATACTTGGTTACCGGACGCTACGGAGGGCCCTACCCCAGTATCAAAACAGATGCGCTGCGCTACACCTTGTTATGTTAAATTGGTAATTCAACTAGCTGACTAACTAAGATTGGATTGACTGGAACTGGTAAACTCATTGTTGTAGGTTCAAATCCTACATTCCAGAAATTAAGCCATAATAAAAAAACAGAGTTTGATCCTGGCTCAGAATGAACGCTAGCGATATGCTTAACACATGCAAGTCGAACGTTGTTTTCTCANGCAAGTCGAACGTTGTTTTCTCACGCACGGGGGCACACACACACACACACACACACACACACACACACACACACACACACACACACACACACACACACACACACACACAGACGGGGGCTTTATTTTACGTGACACACACACACACACACAGAACCCATACCCCACTTCCCGATTTCCTGAAAGCTTTTTTTCCCCCTATTTCCCAAAAGACAGTACTCCCCCTGTTTCCCAAAAAACAATGAACTTCGGAAAGCTCAACACTCTGGCATTCTGTGGGTGGACACTCTGACAGCGTGGGAGGACACTCTGACAGAGAGTGTTCATGCTGTGTTTGGCTGTGCAGCCCCAAACTCATTTCTGCAAATGCACCAAGCCAGGAGTACTGTCTACGTTCATTTCATGTTGTAGTGAGTCCCTGTCAAATACAACAATCCTCAGTGAAAGGCTCCGCATACTACGCAACGTCGGAGACAGGGACTCACTACAACATGAAATGAACGTAGACAGTACTCCTGGCTTGGTGCCTTCGCAGAAACGAGTTTGGGGCTGCACAGCCAAACACAGCATGAACACTCTCTGTCAGTGTCCTCTCATGACTGTCAGAGTGTCCTCCCACAGCTGTCAGAGTGTCCTCCCACGGCTGTCAGAGTGTCCTCCCACAGACTGTTGTGGTTCAACCTCCCGACAAGTCGGTGAAAGTCCGACGAGACAGTCTGGCACAGTCATGCTTTTTTGAGTGTATAGCAAATATGACAACACACACACACACACACACACACACACACACACACACACACACACACACACGCCCGCCCCCACCCCAAAGACAACCACCGGCGGTCCCCCAGGTCCCTCCAAAGTCCCGCCGGCGACCGGTACCGGCCCAGGCGAACCCTGTTCGCCAGCCTCGAAAACACGTTCTCGTGAACGTGTTCTCGACCGGTTCGCGCGAACGGGAGAACGTGTTCGCCCGAACGCGAAGGGCCGCGAACATGTTCGCCGTGCTACGCAGATAGCCAGGATCATAACACCCACCAGCAATCGCAGCTAGGTATGGATGCATACGACCGAAATTACATCTACATACATCTAGCGCTCAGTTGAAGAAGTCCTATTGTAAGGAAAGAGGCGACAGGAGAATGAGCAAAAAAACTCTTGAAAAAAAAAACTTTGAAAAAGTATTTAAAAAAAAAAAAAAAAAGGAGCCAGTCGCTCAGCTAGGAGAGGTGATAAGAGCACCCCATCCTAGCTGGCTTCCTGATTGCTAATTAGAGAAAAAAAAGGGGGGAAATTAAAACTTACAGTTTGTGTCCATCCAGCCCATTTGATTGTTGACGTTATCATGAACCACCAGAGTTTGCTGCATGAAGTTGGCTGCAAGAAGACAAAAAAAAAAAGAAAAAAGAAAAAAAAAAGGGAAGGAGAACGTTAAGGAATGATGAAAGTCTTGTGTCAAGTCGATTGCAAAAAAAAAAAAAAAAAAAAAAAAAAAAATCAGAGTTATCAAACGAATATGAAAAAATCTACAATTCAAAATGCAAAAGTGGGAACAGCAAAACGAAGGGAAGGGGAAAAAAGAAGAAAGAAAAAAAAAAAAAGTGAATAACTCAACAAAGATCTGTGCAGCATTAGCAAAAATAAAATTTCGACTGTGTCAGGGGCGCTGCTCTGGACTACAAGCTGTTCTTCATTGGCCGCACGGAGAGATCGGCGCCCTGGACTACAAGCTGTTCTTCATTGGCCGCACGGAGAGATTGACGAGGCGACCATAGGCGTCGCCAGGTACTTTCCCGCCTCAGTCCCCCCTAACTACCGAATAGCATCGATTATATATATCGTCAAATAGAACTGCCCGGTAAACCGTAGGCAGAGAGGGAGAAGATATATATATATATTTGTGACGATATATATATATATACCTTACCGAAGTTGATTGCTTTCCTTTGGGCCCTGGTTGCTATTTTTTTTAGGTCCTTGGGAGGGGTCTTTTTCTGCTCCTTCAGGAAACCAAACCCTTATAGCCCCCGTCCCCACTTCTGTCCTCTTCGATGACTGTTCAATAAAAAATATTTAAAAATATAGGCCCTTATCATTGTTTAGGCGGTGGTCTCAGGGCCCTTAGCCCCCCTCCCTGCGTCTCGGAACCGTCCAGTACCCCGCCTCTCTTTTTTTTTTTTTTTTAACTTCGTATACGGGAAAAACCTACTTAACAAGGTGATAAGAGCATCCCCGGTAAGTAGGCCCCAGCGTCGAAGGCTCCATCTATTGGTGGGGGGAGCTGTGCCTGCTGGAAATCGGTACCAGCATCCCTGTGTACAATGATGAAATGTGTATCAGCTGGAAATCAGGTCCAGCGTCCCTATGCAGTGCTGTGTGGTTATCTCGTACTCGTCATCCAATGCTGTCTATATGTGTTCGTTAGTCAGTATATGTCACATTTTGGGAGAAGCCTATGCACCTAATCTACTGTATCTCAATGCAATGCTGAGGCATCAAGCCCAATCCTATCAATCAGACCTCAAGACGAAATCATTACGACGATGTGATGTGTGGTGTGACCTGGAAATCAGGTCCAGGTGCCCTATACAATGATGTGTAGAAAAGTCGGAGTACACATTTGATTACTAATCTACTGTATCTCCAATCGGAGCTAAGGCATCAAGCACCCCCTCTATTTTACGATCCCACTCTGCAGCCTCACAGCCCCCTCCCTTAGAAAAAGACGGGCAAGTTATTTGCCACCCCTTTCCTTTCTTTTTTTTTTTTCCAGACAGTCACACGGATTTTTCCGGCATATGGGTACGCCGGCCGGGTTAACTCATCACTCGCGGAATAATGTATACTTAACCAGTTGCAGTCTTTGGGTTTAACAAAGACATTATTTGCCACCCCTTTCCATTCAGGTGCTACCTTCCCTTTTTTTTTTTTTTTTTTTTACATCTATATGGGTTTCACATACTACAAAATGCATGCCTCTGTATTAAAAAAAAAAAAAAAGTTATGCCCAGAAGTTCCCAGAACCTTCTCAAATAATCCACACAGGGTAACGATTT